CTATAGGCTTCCTATTTGTACAAACATGTGTGTCTCTGCTTCTATATGTGTTTCTCATGCCTTTTCTATAGATGTTTTCTGTTTCATTTTATTTTATCTTATTTTAATATTATTCTTTAGATACCTGTTTTCTAAAAAGAGATAGAAAGTGTGTGGATTTGGATGGGAGGGGAGGTAGGAGGATCTTGGAGAAGTTGGGGGATATTGTATGAAAAATGGCTATTTTCATTAAAGAAAAAGTTTCAAGTAATATGTAGGAACTTTCAAGGGAGCATAAATACAATGCACTTGTATGAAGGATTTCAGGGGAATAATATAATATATTATATATATAATATTATATTATATATTATATAATATATAATATATTATATAATATATAATAATATAATAATAATTCAGGGCAAGTAGAGTTAAGTTGAGGATGGAGAATATAGAGGAAGATAAAACAGGGAATATGGGGGGAATAAATAACACTAAAGACCTTTCAAAAAAGACATATGGGAACTTATGACTTTAAAGGCTTCCAAATATATAGATAGAGATAGAGATACATATAAACATATACATACAGAGTTAATTGAATTATCTTATCACAGAGCAGCAATGAATACTAGACAATAAGAAAATATGAAAACAGGATGGTTCAAACCAAGATGCTTCTTTCCTACTTGGTTTTTTTATAATGTTGGAATACACTATACAACTATTGAAGAAGAAGAAAAATAATCATTAATTATACCCAGTTGTGAACCCTATGAGTTATAATAATGACTGGTTTGGCAAGACACAATCAGTGCAATAGTAGCATTTACATCATGAGAGTAACCAATGACAAAGTCATTGGATTTAATTATCACTTAACAAGAGAAAACCTATACTTGACACCATTATCAGGCCAAGAACTTAAGGCTGGGCAAGTCATAGGCTGGAGGAAAAAAACGTACTACTATTATTCTGATAAATGAACATAATATTCCGACTGACTCCAGTGATTTATCATAATACTTATAGACCAATGCATCTTAACTCAAAACAAGAAGCTTAAATTTGCAATAGATAGCAAGTGCAGTTGTTGGAACAGGTATGACCCCCATAGAATCATACATTAGAATACTTGATCCCCACTTGGTGGAACTGTTTGAGAAGGATTAGGAGGTATGACGACATTGTAGAAGGAGGTCTGTCACTGGGGGCCTGTTTTTAGATTAAAAGATTCACTCAATTGCCATTGTGCTCACTTGACCTGCTATTTGTGGATCAAGATGTGAGTTCTCAGCTGTTCCCTGCTGTCATGTCTGTGCTCAGCTATCATAGACTATAACCCCCTGAAACAAAACACACAATTAAATGGTTCATTTATCAGTAGTGTTGGACGTGGTGTTTTCTTATCACAATAGAAAAGCAACTAAGAAAGTGATTAACACAGAGACCCAAAGTTGGATAAATTGATAGATTAAGATATCACAGAAACCTCACCCCTAAAGTAATATGTATACCTCACCACCCCTTACAAGGTTTAGGGATCAGTGGAGAACACAGGAAAAAAAAAAGTGACAGACAGAGTCAGTAGATGACAAAAAGGAAACATCGAGACACAGCAGGACATCTGCACAAATGAACATACAGTGCAATAGCATGCACAAAACCTTTACAAGCTGAAGACAGATCAAATCACAGCATTGAGGGGGAAATTTAGCATATAATCTCACCCCTAGCATCAAAGCCATTGGCAACTGATAGCTCATGGGAAAGGGAGAGTTGGTCCCTGATAAGTGGACCACAATTCAATGGAAAAAGAAACATCCAAGAATATGTCTTAATGAGTCAAAATAAAATAAGACAAATCTAGGTGGGTAGGAAAAGGGGACTAGAAAAGGAAAGAGTTGGGTGGGGGAGGTGAATGTGTTCAAAACACATTATATGACATCCTTAAAAAACAAACATGAAAATAATTTTGCATTGAACAAATATGGTATTTTCTCCATCCTTACATACAGCTCTCACCCAACATATGAATATGATCTGAAGGCTCTGGGAACCAGTAATTTGTAAACAACTATTCATGAAGATAGTACATTCACTCTAACATATTTGAAATACCAATTTACATATTGCATCCTCATTGGAATCTTTGTATGACTCTCCTAATCAAGACACATTTCTTCTTGTTTCTATATTTTCATAGTACTTTATTTCTCCTGTTTTCTTACTGCCATCTACTTCAGATTAGAGTAACATGTATACTGATTTGTCTTTTTTATACCTCCTTTCTTAGATCACAATAAAATTCAGGGATTCTTACTTTCTGCTTTTAGAGAACAAAATATTGCCCACTCATTGTTAAAATATCATGCATCATCAATGTTAATTCAATATAACAAACACTGTAACCTCAAGGACTGAATTAAATAATGAGCATACCTAGTGACACTTATTGTTTATCAAATGCCTGTTATTTGCTAGGTGCCTCAAATCATTAAAATTCCATGTATCAAAATATCAAATGACTATTAGCTTATTACTTAATTCTCATATTTATGTCACCATGTAAATGAAAATTCAGTGTGTATTCCTCACTGATAACTCATAACACACACAACTGAATTTATTATTGAATTGAGTATATTTTGTTTGTCTGATAGTATCCAGTACCTATCATGTAAATAAAAGCTTAATTATTCTCTAAGACCAAACTTTCCTTTGGGTTATATAGTCAACTTCCCATTTCTGTTTAAACTATGAACATTCAGGAAGACCATGCCCATAACTAGTAATTAGGTCATAAATTTTGCTGACTCTGATCTCCTTTGTCAAGACCATGCACTTCCTTTTCTTCCTGGAAGGCATTAAAATAAACTAAAGTTGAGAAATCCGGCTCAGTCATTGATCTCATTCAAATCTTGAGATAGGAAAACTAAAGAAATCAAAGATATATTGGTCTCTCAAAATAAGAAACTATGTCACATAAAATCCTTAAAATAAATTTACATTTTAATGCAAACTTTTAAAATTATAATTTATTATTTTGTAGTTTATTAAGCATTTTAGTTACGCAGGCTTTGAAAAAACGCAGAAACTTCAATAGACTAATAGCATACTCTGGATTCAAGTTGGCTCTCCTTTACTACACAGGGTGCAGAGCATGCTTTACTACATCAAAACGAAGTTTAAATGTTATGTGGTGAATAAAAGAGACTATTTTTCTGTTTCATAGTACCCCATATAACATCAAATACAGAGGAAAATTTTTCTTATCACAGCAATGTACACATTGAGACATAGAAGATTATATCTATTAAGGAAAGTTATTAATTAGGAGTACTGGAAATTGAGACACTGGTAAGCTCCAAAATATTTTGTGATCTTTTGTTATAAAGAAGAAAGGTGTTTCATAGAAAGTCTTGCTTTAAAATTAGTATCCTGAAATAATATGATGTAGGGTGCTGAGTAAGTACATAATAAATTTATTATTTCAAATTATCCTTCATAACATTAAATTTCAAAAGATTATTTTTCTTAAACTAGTCACATTTCAGATACTTTAAGGCTGATTTTCAGCTTGAGCTGATAGGCCCTTGGACACAGAAGCGGATAGTTCTCTCCTTGTTTTCTCATTTTAATATGTTTTAGTCTAATGATTAGGTAAAGACAATGTCTTTTTATAATACAGTGTCAATGACTGTTATACAGAATCCTGAAAAGATCAACTCCTTGGATGGAGTTAGATATAAGATCAAATGTTAAGGCTGAAATTCACTAGCTTTACAATTTGGGCAAAGCAAACTACTCTATACCTCTGTTTCTTTATTTGAAGACTACAAATGTTAGAACAACCTTCTCACTGGATTTTGGTAAGAATTATAAGATCCAGAGTTCCAGATATTATCAATTAATAAAATACAAATTTTAAATGCTATATAGAAAGAAAATACCACTTTCTGAAAGAAGTTCTAAGTCTATAATTCACCAGGAACATTGCAAGTTTAGATGAGGGACGTCAGAGTCATTTTACATACTACTTTAATTAAATACTTTTCTAACTTAATTCAGGTTTCCCTCCAAAATGAAGTCATAGCATTCTTTTTACATCTGGAAACCTAGAAGTAAAGAGATAAATCTACTCATCTACTTGCTGCATTATTTTGAGTTTAATTGTAGAGTTAGCTTTGGAGCTGTATTTCCTGAAACCATCATTGATCACCTCAATTGTTATTTTTCTCTAAAATTAAATCTTAGTCATTTATTTGCCAGTTTATCTACATGTGCTAATAGTTACAATCACATCCTTCCAAAATGTCAGAACACTTTCATATGACAAAGGTCAAGATACAGTTATCACAGGATAAAGGAATAAAAGCAAATAGTATGCAGTGAAAAGACATACAAGCATCTTTCTCTTTCTCTCTTCTGTCTTTCCTCCTTTGCTAGCTCCTTGTTGTACTGCTTTTCAACTTAGGCATTGTCAATAATGCTTTGAGTTTACCAGAACCATCATTCAGCTAAACAGGTGGTTTTACAATTGAAAAGACTGGCCCAACGGACCTGGAACATGGGCTGTGCCTTTCATTTTGAGAATGATGGAGTAAGAAGTATGGCTTGAATTGGGAATAGGACACTGCATTTATAACAGGGAGTACAATAGCTAATATAAGAATTAGAACTAAGTTGCATCACAGAAAAACAGTAGAAAGATGGCAGGCATGATGGATGAGGAAAAATAATGGTGTGGATTTAAGGTCAACCTGGGCTTTGTAGGGAAACCTTGTGTCACAAACAAAAACAGAAATTTCTAAGTGTTTATGAAATGGGAATCTGGGGTTATAACCTGCAATAATTTTCTAGTTTGAGTGTACATGTTACAAAAAAGCTAAAGGCTTTCCAAACTAACTATTTATAATCAAAGCACAGATAATATTCTTGGCTCTTTTTTCCTCCTCTCGTCCATCCTATAATAAAACAGTAAGTGCAGCCTTTTGGTAACTGCTCAAGGCACTCACCTGTGTTAGAATTAAGGTCATCTGGCTCTGACTCAGCCCCATTTTGGCTTCCATTTCCCTGCAGAGTATTCATTGCCATAAGTTTCATCTTCTGGAGCTTCATTGCCTCAGCCATCGCTGCAGCTGTTATACCTAAAGCAGAACCATCAATTTAAAAATGGGACTCATTTCTTAATGATAGTAAAATGTGTGCATAGTTATTTAACAAGAATATGCTGCATGGTACAAGCAGAAAAGTAAATCACATGTAAGCATTGAAATAATGAATATTTGAAAAATATATTTTCAACTCATAATAACTTCTTATTACAAATAGCATGAAAATATATTTTAAAGAGATTAGAATATGAGTCTGATCCACAATTAGAAAAACAAGGAATGCTCAACCATACCACAAGAGCACTTGTTCAGCTATGTTCATATCAGCATTGTTTGTAATAGCCAGAACATGGAAACAACCTAGATGCCCTTCAACTGAAGAATGGATAAACAAAATGTGGTACATATACACAATGGAATACTACTCAGCAGAGAAAAACAATGACATCATGAGGTTTGCAGACAAATGGATGGATCTAGAAAAAATCATCCTGAGTGAGGTAACCCAGACTCAGAAAGACAAACATGGTATGTACTCACTCATAGGAGGATACTAGATGTGGAACAAGGATGACTGGACTGCTACTCACAACACCAGGGAGGCTACCTGGAAAACAGGACCCCAAGAAAGACGGGATCGCCCAATGACAGAGAAATGGAATGAGATCTACATGAACAGCCTGGACATGAGTGGGAGTAATGAAGGGCGAGGGTCGAGGGAAAGAGAGCTTGGGAGAGCAGGAGATCCCAGCTGGATCAACAACAGAGAGGGAGAACAAGGAATAGGAGACCATGGTAAATGAAGACCACATGAGAATAGAAAGAAGCAAAGTGCTAGAGAGGCCCACAGAAATCCACAAAGATACCCCCACAACAGACTGCTGGCAATGGTCGAGATACAGCCCGAACTGACCTACTCTGGTGATGGGATGGCCAAACACCCTAATTGTCGTGCTAGAAACTCCATCCAACGACTGAGGTATCGGGATGCAGAGATCCATGGCTAGGCCCCGGGGGAATCTCTGGGAGTCCAATTAGCAAGAATGAAGAGGGTTTATATGAGCGAGAATTGTTGAGACCAATGTTGGATAAAGCACAGGGACAAATAGCTAAACGAATGGAAACACATGAACTATGAACCAATGGCTGAGGGGTCACCAACTGGATCAGGCCCTCTGAATGGGTGAGACAGTTGATTGGCTTGATCTGTTTGGGAGGCATCCAGGCAGTGGGACCGGGTCCTGTGCTCATTGCATGAGTTGGCTGTTTGAAACCTGGGGCCTATGCAGGATCGCTTGGCTCGGCCTGGGAGGAGGGGACTGGACCTACCTGGACTGAGTCTACCAGGTTGATCTCAGTCCACGGGGAAGGCTTTGCCCTGGAGGAGGTAGGAATGGGGGGGTGGGCTGGGGGGAAGGTGAGGGGGGCAGGAGGGGGGGAGAACAATGGAATCCGTGGCTGATATGTAGAACTGAATTGTATTGCAAAAAAAAAAATTAAAAAATTAAATTAAAAAAAACACAGAAAAACAAATAAGTAAAAAGGCCAAACATTGCAATTGTTCACTTTATTGATTTTAAGTAAAGAAGTACTAAAAACAAGAAGGGAAAGTAACCGAGGACTTAAAATGTGTGTGTGTGTGTGTGTGTGTGTGTGTGTGTGTGTGTGTGTGTGTGTGTAAAAATGAAATTAAGAATATTTGTGAACAAGACTACTCACATATCTTTAATAAACACAATTAAAAGTCCCAATATTTATGCATTTGTCTAAGCAAATACCATCGGTATACTCTGCAAGGGAACATCGGTGAGCAAACTCAAAATGTAATATCAAATATCAAACTGCTGAACAATCATTTTATAATAGTGCTAGAAGGAACTTGAGAAGATATAATGTTCAATTTCTTCTCTTAACAATAAGAAAATAGTGAACTTTTATACCTCAGTTATATACATAAAGATAGGTGGCAAAGGACCACATTTGTTAGTGAAATTTACAGGTATTAAATTTCTAAATCAGCTCGAAAGTGAATTAATGAAAATCATGAAAAGATAATTTCCTCTTGCCATATTCAGTCATACATTGCTAGTTCCCAATTTATAGTCCTTTCATTTGACTCAAAGTTTACAGATATAACCTATATCTCCTATGCTATAAATTAGATTATGATGTATATTAAAATTGCTTTATACTCATAAATCATAAAATCTTATTGAGTCTCTAGAAAAGTTGGAGAATATGTTTCTTCAAGTAGAACCACAGTCAAAATAACAAAGAAGTAAAATGTTATCAGTTATTTGAAAATGTCTTAGTACATTACTTTTTACTTCAACTGTCAAAATTTTTTCAACAAGTTGTTTATAATAGGAGTACATTTAAGAAAAGAGAATGCCTTAGCATATAGTCTTGGGGATGGAATGCAGATGAAGTAATAATAAAGTTAATTTGAGAATAACAAATTTGACTTGGGTATAAGAATTTCAGCATATATCAGATAATTAGAAAATGGTTATTGTAATGAAAGAAAGATAATTTTAAAAGTGAAAGTGCTATAATTACAGTTAAATACACAGACATAATTCTTTGACAAATAAACTTTGTTGTTTTAGTAATGGATTCTCAGATCAGCTCTTTTATGAGGTTTCATATATGTATATGTAAAATTAAATATAATAAGTGGACTGTTGATCTGAATAGAGAGTTCACAAAAGAAAATATAAAAATGGCTAAGAAATGTCTCAGAATATGTTCACATCTTGAGTAATTAGGAGAATACAAAATCAAGCAACTTTGAGAGTTCATCTTACCCCAGTTAAAATAGCTAATATGAAGAAAACACCTGACAACAAATGCTAGAATTCACATGAGGGGAGGGGAGCTCTCATTTGCACTTGATGGGAATTCAAATTGGTGCAGCCACTCTGAAAAATCAGTGTGGAAAATTATATACATAATGATATAACATGTCTAATTATATTTACATAAAGTTATGATATATGTGAATATATGCATATATGTTATATATAACATACATAATTATACATATATTGTATATATATGATTTTATAGATAAATAGCATTCCAGTGTGTATATGTATCGCATTATCCTTATTCAATCATCTGATGAAGAACATTTAGGTTGTTTCTATTTCCTAGCGATTATGAACAGAGCAGCACTGAACATGGCTGAGCAAGTATCCATGGAGTAGATTGTTGAGTCATTGGGACACATACCAAAAAGTTGTATAACTTAATCATAGTTCTACATCTAACTTACTGAGAATTCTGAGATATTTCTTAGCCATTTTTATATTTTCCCTTATGAACTCTCTGTTCAGATCAATGGCTCACTTTTTGATTGGATCATTTGTTTTCATGACTTTTTTTTAGTTTATATATTCTGTATATTAACCCTCTGTCAGATGGACAGCCATAGAGAATTCTCTTTCATTCTGTGGGTTTCCTCTTTACTCAATTGAGAGTTTCCTTCATAAATGAATGGAACTAGAAGATACAATATTGAGTGGGGTAACAGAGTCTCATAAAGACAAATGCTGCTGCATGTTCTCTCTCATCTGTGGTTCATAGCTACAAATATTCATATGTGAGTATGTAACATACAGGAATCTCAGACACCAGGACTGTGAAAAGGTACTATAGAAGGGACAGCACTAGAGAAGGAAATGGCAGGCTACAAACAATATGAAGGAGGAAATGGGAAAAGTGGGAGGTGGGGCTTTAGCAGGGCAAGGAACGATTAAGGAGAATGAAAAAGAGAGAAAAATAAATACTAAGAATGTTTGAAAAATTCATAAGGAATCATTTTTATTGAGGTAAAATTACACATACATGTATCTACACATACATGCTAAGCATGAGAAAGTCCCTTTCAAGCTGTTAGGGGAATCCAAGAGACCCTAAAACAATATAGACTATTGATGTTGCCCGTGGTTGATCCAAGATGTTGAAGATAAGTTCTCGTTGTTGGAAATATTATGCATTTTGGACTCAAGACTTACAGAATTTGAGCTGCATCTCTCCTGAAAGCTTCCTCCTTAAGGATTAGCTTTTTTCTCCTTTATATAACTATTTTATCTTAAATACTCCCAATATCCAAAATATTTATTTCATTAGACTAACAAAGAAAGAATGTGATTATACAGTTTTTACCCTGCAATAAGTATACATGAAAAATTATGTAAAATACATCAGTTTCACTAGTATAAATGTTTCTAAGCAGAAAAATTAACTATTGCAATTATCACTTAGAAATACCATTCCTTAATCCCCATGTCTAATGTCATTTTACCTAGTATGGGATATCCATATTAAAATTCATACTTAGCTTTACTGGAAATTAACATCGTCTTTCACTATGCTTGTATTTTGATGAGTCAAAATTTATGTGCAAGTATTCTAGGTGATAGCTGATGTCTACCAGTGATTAGATTGTCAAGAAAAAATGGCATGACCCTTTGTTTCCCTGGAGATCATCTACCAACTAGTAAAGCAGAAGGTCTTGGGTTTGTGGCAGTTACAAACCCACTCTTCATAAAATGTTGGAATTCTAGCTACTTCCAAATTCTAGAATTTTCTTTCTTTTCTTTCCTTGTCTCTTTCTTTTTTCTTTCTTCCTTCCTTCTTTCCATTCTCTCTCTCTCTCTCTCTCTCTCTCTCTCTCTCTCTCTCTCTTTCTTTCTACTGCAATTTCCCCTTTCTCCTCTCCTCCCAGTACCCCCCAGACACCCTTCTTCCCCTCCCAATCTTCTTCTCCTCTATTACTGTTCAGAAAATGCCAGGCCTCTCAAGTACTAAAAGAGACTACTGGAAAGGGAAGGGGATTTCAGGGTAAGGTGGAAACCTGGTGCAAGGGAAACTCCCAGGAATCTACAAGGAGGACCCCAGCTAAGACTCCAAGCAATAGGAGATACATAACCTAAAGTGGCCATCTCCTGTGACTAGGCAAGACTTCCAGTGGATGGGACACCAACTCAGCTACGTAAGCTTCAACCGACAGTCTATTTTGCCTATGG